GCCACGCTCACACTCAGCTGTGGAGATGAGCAGTGTGTTCACAGCTTGAAGGAGGGTCGTAGCTCTTCTGGTACTGGTGATTCTATTTCATCAACATCTGTTAGAAAACAGCATTGGCCAAATAAAGATTATTAGAAATTGAGATTTGCTCCCAAAGGAGGCGCAAGGTTTAGAGAGACTGTTTAAAGTTAAGCTCATACTAATGTTAGATCCGGTTCTTCAGTTGGAAGCCCAAGAACAAGCCGGAGAAATCTTCAGTTCTCAGTTGTATAATTTATTTATTTTAGTCACAGGTAAAGTGAGGCAGCGCTGGAATTCAGAGGGACAGAGAGGAATCTCATGTCCAGCTGAACTGAATGTTTTCGGTTCCAGGTTACAGATATCTTCTTGGGCTGAGCCTGCCCCAAACATAGATAAGATTTAATTGGCCAGTTATTAATGGTGTGGACAGGCATCCTTCTGTGCTCTGTCCACGTCCTTGATATTTAGTAAGCAGTGTGTGTGGATGTTGTTGGTACGGCGTGCAGCTAAAGTAACAATCGTATCTAGTAGAAAAGAGGAGTTTCCGCTATCTCCAAGTGTGCAAACCGGTTCTCACCGGCCATATTATCTTCAAGGACGTATGCTGTTCTCAGTAGGAAAATACGAAACAGAATCATAGGCTCAGTGCAAAATACAGATTCAAAATACATAATAGCTCGAAACATACTTAATTCTAACACTAATAATGTTCATTAATGCCTGTACGTTCTGATTTTACTCTTGTGACTGCAGTATCTGACTTCTCCTTTCACTATGATAAATGACGTTAATGTTGAACTCTTCCCTTGTTTATATAATCTGGAGAATCCCAGACATGATGAGCAGGGTCTTCGTTGTTTACATCTTGTCAAAAACATGATTCAGTGCTCAGAAGTCAATATACTAAACATTTTTCTTTAATGTTCCTAAATATACAAGAGAGGAGTCATGGTGTTGAAGCAGACAGTTCATACAGCGGGTTTTAATCTATTTACTTTACTGAGACTAAATTAATGATTGACTTTTCACATCTTTGTCAGAGTTAAGCCAGGTTTGTGCCTTAATGTGTCACATATGTCACTGAGCCAACAATCCTTTTTCATAGACAAGATTGTATGAAAAATCCAAGTGGGTAGTTAAAAATACTATTTTCTAATATTTTCTGAACCCTCAGCAAAGGTCTGACTCAGAACCCAGCATGCAACTTGTAAAGTGGTGCGAAACTATTTTCACCATTTAGTTAGGTTGATCCATTTAAATCAAATCAAATCAAATTTATTGTTATTTTTTAGAAAATGGTATTGTAAACTCTGAGTATGACTGCAGAGTGCTGTGATTTGCTCCAAGCAAAACATGCAGGGCATTATTAACTGAAGAAGTGGAAAAAAAAAAAGAAAAAAGAAAAAAGTGATTTAATTGAATTAAACAAACAAATTCAGAAACTGAGTTAAATGGAATGACAAAAACATGAAGACATAACTGAATAAATAGAATGAGGATGTATTGTACATCACAACAAGAAAACATGGCAGAATAGGAGCACGAGGAAGACGAGTCTTATAGAGCGCGCCCCTATAACAAAGAAGACATAAACCAAACATAGATGGCCTTCAGTCAGCATTTACAGAACACAAATCTCCTCCTCCCCCCCAACTTATTGGCTTTTGTATCTTTCGGTTACACTTTTCTTAAATCTGTATTTTAATTGAGCAATAGGATTTGCCTCTTTACATTAATTCCACAGCTTCACTCCATTTACTGAAAAACTCCTCTGTTTTAGTGCAGTTCTTGATAAAGGCACTCGAAAATCTCCTTTCATTCTGCTGTTACTGTCTATGATCAGTGAAAACAAATTTAATAAAGGTTCTGGTGACGACCCCTTGGATATCTTACTCATCATTATTACAATTTTGAAATCAACAAATCTTTGAATTTCAAAACAAAAGATTTACTGGAAAGGTCATTTGTGTGCTCCCTTGGGGCTTTATAATTTATAATGCTTTTTTTTTTTTAAAGCAACCATAATCGTTCTAATACATTTTTACATGCATTGCCCCACACTTCAATACAGTATGTAAAATATGGAACAATTAATGTGGAACAAAGAAGGAGTAATGATGCCTCATCCACAACCTGTTTTACATTAAATAAAATACCAATACTTTTGCTCACTTTATTTTTTATATAATTTATATGAATCTTCCAGCTAAGTCTCTCATCCAACATTACACCCAAAAAATTTTATTTAAGAGAGCATTTTGATGGTAATATTGTGAACAATGATCTTTTCATGTTCATAATGCTTCCTTATAACTAATATGTATTTTGTTTTGCCCCAATTCAAAAAGAATTTAATAAATTTCCATGTATTACAAAAAGCCGGTTCAAATATTAAAATAAACATTAAGCTACAGCACCACCATGTAACAAATATCAAACAATTTGCTATGAAATGAAAACAGTAGCTGCAGGTGAATTGATAAACTCCAGAAACTGTTAGTAGCTAGTTGTTAGCAGCCTGTTTGTAGTCGCTACTTTAATTTGCAGTACAAGCAGGATTCAGGATTCCAACACTGACTTAAACAGACGGCGATATTTTAAAGTAAAAGCACAGAAATGGGATAAACGTAGCTCATCTACCTTATATCAGAATTCCCCGACTTACATAGATGCAATTGGAGTCACCAGAGGTGTGCCTGATGA